CAAAGTGTGTGCATGAAGACATGACCATTTCAGACTCCCCTCTGCTTTGGATAATCTGTGCCAAATCTAACCTTTGTGTAAGTAGGAATGAYTCCAAAAAATTTATAGAAGTCACTCTTTATTACTAGTATTAATGGAACTGAATTTGGCTCTCCTTGCATGTGCCATTTGGAATAGTTTATTTTTCACATGAGGTTTGGCAGAGATTTCTCCCAAATAACTTCCCCCCAAAACTACCCCCAAAAGCTGGCCTGTAAGTTTCAAAATCGCTCTGCTTAGCTAGAATAGCTCTGTACAATACATCCCAATCTGAAACCTTCACTATGCAGAGATAAATTTGGACCATAAAAAGTTCTCACTTGGTAAGTTAATAATACATCCTAATWAAATGTTTTGTGTACTCTCTTAATTAGTATTCTAACAACAAATACTTCCGATCTGTATTTTTGAAAGCAGCTATACTTTAAATACRTTATTGTAWTTTTCTTTKCTTTTTCTTTTTCTTAAATATTTTCTACAAATAGTCTGTGGATTCAGAAARTCTGGAATTTGCATCAGTTTCTGCTATATGGTTTTACATAAAATTGTCAGCTTCTCCCATTGTGCTAGAAGACAGGAATGTTACTATTCYAGAAGCTGGAATTCTGGTTTATAACCATAGTCCAACACAAACGTTTGTGTGTTTTAGGAAACTAACCTATTTGAAATTCTACATCCTGAATCTGGAATTAATTGATCATGAAAAGTACAAACAGCTCCTTATTCATCCTGTAGGAAGCGCAGAACCATTTGACACATTATGGAAAAATAATGCAGTTATTAATGCTCCTTTCTTTGCTCTCAATGATTTTTAGGCTTGGAATCCTGCCAGGCACACAATAAAGTACGTGGCCTTTAACACACACAGGCATGACTCTTCATTCCTAGTCTCAACTGGGAACCAACAAAACTCAGTACCTTACAGGTTTGTTTCAACTGAAATGTTCACAGCTTGTATCCAGAGACAGGTTTTCTYGTGTCTTTAAGTTATTTACAAGCTTGCAAATCCGATCCACAAATAAGGAAATGTCTTTTAGAATCAGTTAAACCCAAGGATCTGTAYGGTGAAGCAGATGTGGTCACTAACAGATGAAGARCTATTTGCAATGTGGCYGGTGTTAYGTGCAGTGCYTGAATATACATTAAAAAGAGAGTTYCAAGAATTTACTACYATTCTGAARGRAAGAATTGATGTTTTAAGTAGCTGGATTTGTAGAAAGTCTGTAAGACAATCCAAGTAAATCCTCAAATAGATGATTAATTCCTCATTATTTAAATGCCCTTAAATACAAGTGCAGATGCTAACTGCACAGCTTTGTCTTGACAGCTCCTTCGTTATTTCTCATGATCTACTATTAGGCTGTGACTCTCAAGCCCTGAAAAAGAGTGCCTGTGAAAAAGCCTTCTAGCTCCTAGAAAGAGTAAGTTCTTGCATCTTATTCTTACATAGTTCTTTCAGGGTCTGGCTGATACTGCAGCTATGATAACAGTACATAAACATCTGCCTCATTCCGGAGAGCCGGATTAGGTTTTTATTGAATATGTTTATGAGTTGCTTTGAATATCTGATGTCCCACTAAGACACGAGCATGTATGCACATGCCTAAACCCTTCTTGGAGCAGATACATCCCAATCTTCCTTAGCTGTCAGAAAGTTTTAGGGTAATCTCCTTTTACACTGACAACAATAGGTATGGTATTCATTTTYTTAGACAATATTTATACTTACTATTAGCCTGTCCTTTGGATAACTAGCAAGCTTTACTTTAAGCCTTGTGATCCACCATACAGAATTTGGCTATCATTTATCCTAGTTATAAACCTGGAAAGAGGGGGTGGGTGGTGGGGAGAAAGTCCAAAGAATGCAAAGCTTGACAACAAACTGAAGCACAATGGAACTGGAAAAGAATTTTAAAGGGTCTGGCTCTACAGAGGAGACAGTGCTATATACATTTATGTGCTTATGGAGACACATCACACTAAACTGTATTATTCAGTTCCTTGCAAAAATAAAAGGAATAGACTGTGGGGAAGGGAAAGCAGAATCAAGGTGCRAGAGAGCAAAAAAATCATCCAGCAACAGATGAGAATTGGAAAATGGATGCAGRGGGAAGGAATGGATGATGAGAGAATAGCAGGCCTATTTAAAATGAATTTTTGACCTTATTTTTAAAACATTTATGGATACCAATTGCCTRTCATGAGATCATTTTCCCTTACAATGCTAGCTTTTCAGCCGGCTCTGCACTTTAACTTGATTTATCCCACTTTAAAAAAGTAGATTGTTAGAAATACCCCTTCTATTAGAAATTCTGTCCCATTACAGTGTCAGCAAAAGGCCACTTGTCAATGTCAGCTTTATCAGATAGAAATTCACTCCATGAGTTCTCAGATACTATTTTGGAGGACAACACCCAGGGCCCACTTTTGAGGCTGCTGATTTGCAGTGGGATAGTGTCTTCTCAAATTATCCTTTGCTTTCCCCATCTTATCTGCATATTTCATGAGATGGTGGGAAGTGATTACAGCAGCTGCTGTACATTAGAAAGCATAGGAAAGTTGGCTTAGGTAAAACARTTGACTGAGAAAAGTAAGGAAAGAACTAATCGAGTGTTAAAAATACAGAGACCCGGCATCTCTTTTCCAGCTGCAGCTTCCCTGGTGCCATAGCCTCCGGTGGGAAGAAAGAAAACTTCTACCAGAAGGTTTTCCTCCTCCTCAGCTGTCTGTTGTCTCTTCAAATRAAGACTTAACATCCTGAAGATTAGAGTAAGTTTTTATTTATTCACAATTATGCAATTAATCATCAGCATGTCTCCTCTTTAMAGATAAAGGTGGAAAAAAATCAGCTGTTGTTCAGTCTGTGTTACCACAGTAGTGCTGAGGGTCAGCTGCCCAAGGTGGGAATGAAGGCAGTGCTTAAAAAATAGCTTGAGGACTCTCCTGGCAAGATGCTCTGWGACATTTGTTTTCTTTTTAATATTTTGATTCTATTTTTGTTGCCTCTTTTTGCCTTTTTTTTTTCTGTCTCTGTAGATTGCAACATAGTTATTTTAAGGGTAAAACTACATGCAGGAGTAGAACTTTCAGCCATGAGTCAAAAGAGAGCAAGCTTTGGCTGCAGTATTTTCCAGACTAAAAGAGAATGYCCAGGAAAACAAGGCTGGATGGATCAATGGGTGATATTGTTGCAGTGAAGAGACCAGAAGTCTTTGAAATTTATAAACCACTTCAACAASAACTGTTGCAGCAATGAACTTCAGAGCAGTAAAGCCCTCAAGGTAAACTCTGATTTTTGAGCAGACTGCATTCCTCACAACAAACTATTTACAAATATTCTGCATTGAAAGAAAAAGCAGCAATTCTGGTGCCACTATCATGAATCATTTCAAGATTGAGATACTTAAAGCACCCTTTCAGATGCTTTGATTAAGGACAACATGTTTCACAGGAAGAGCAAAGCTTTGGAAATGARTAATCACTGGGCATTATACCTAACAGGAAGGGCTTAGAGAGGATTACCTAGAAGAAACCTCAGTGAATCTTGTGAAACTACACTGGATCATAAATCTCARCCTCCTCTGAGCGTCAGTAAAGCTTTATCAGTTTCAGATAAGAAGCAGAAATACTCAGGCTGCTAAAGAGGTAGCMCTGACCATGTCTGAGGCCTGTCAGGACACTTACACAGAAAGACACATTTGATGCATATTCTTATTTTAGTTTACAAAAGTAATTCAGAAGAAGAATGGCAAGTACATTGACTCACAAATTTGGATCACAAAATTTAACGCAGTGGATTAAAGTTAACTGCTCTAAGGAAAGAATTATTTCACATAKGACACTTGGTAATTGAATCATAATAATACATACAACGACAGTTTTGGAGTTAATGAACAAATATATATGATAATTTATTTAAAACCACCCCTTTTAACTTTGTATCTCTCAGTTATCGCAATGAAGTCTTGTACTACACCCCTGTCATTGCAGATTGCACTTCAGCATTCACACTGATAGTCTGGAGACACTAAAACCAATGTTAGCTCAAAATTCAGATGTATATAGATTCTTAAGATTTTTAAAGAAATTCTGTCCCTTTTTAAACTAAAATTTCAAATTTAACATAAATTGCATTTTATCAAAGTTACATTTTTGAATTCTGGTTGATTATATTTACTTATAAAGAGACATAGTCCAAGTCCAAAACTTTCTCAGGCAGAGCTCTTGAGTATCCATGCAATATGGCTGCTGCATTTATTTAACACATTCAAAAATCTGGTAGTGTTGATTTGATCTCTGGTTCTTCTGCAGGGTATCGGTTACTCTTCAGTAGTAGGATAGATAATACGTCCCTGTGTTGTGTGAGTCCTAGATGTAAAACAGGGAATACACCATGCCTGCAGCAATTCTATAGTGTTGGTATGAATATTTTAAGATCTTTTGATGGCAGAAGAGCAAATTATTACATTTTTCACTTTATGAAAGTTACTGAAAGGCTGTAAAGTGGCCAGACCACTACTGTCCAGTGTGTAGCAGGAAGGGTAGGGCAGACATGCCTCTATTTCCTCCCTCTCACTTTGCAGCTAAGCACGGTGAGTCTCCTCTTCTAAGGCTCTTGTTGACCCAGAGAATCACTGGATGAAGTGCCAGAGCACCACAAATCCATCTGAAAAGCCTTGATGCTACCACATGTGACAAAGTTTGGCAGTGACTCTCTGTCTTGGGCTTAAAGAGAGGGAACTTGGGCCTAAATCAAACACAGTGATCAGACAAGTTTATTTTAGCCAAGGTTTCATATTAACATTTTCTTTGGCGGGCTGGCATTACGGATTTCTCCATTTTTATGAACTCCCTAAATTCATGTTAAACTGATACAGGATTTCTGGAAAGCACAAACGAATCAGCACCTTCTGCTAACTCTGAACATTGCAAAAGTACTTTGCAGCTCATAATGGACCTACCCAACGCTGGTCGTAGTCGGGCAGCTGAGTCCTTCCGTCGTCGTCATCGTCATAGTCATAGAAAGGCAGACCCTCCCTCCTGGCCTGGTGGTACTCCTTCCGTAACCTCTGGATACGGTCAGCATTCCCACTACCTGTGCAGCCACTGGGGGGAAAAAAAAATGCTAAATGAAACTCCTATGAATGAACACCAGGTACAAACAAATTGCCAGACTGAGACAAATGAATTTTCCTGATTTGCATAGYTCCCACTGGCCCATATCAGCTCTCTTATATTAACAAAGCTGCTTACTGTGAACTTGATCCCTGCTTTTAAAAAAGGCTGTCCCTGTCCAAAAAACTTAACAATTCCAGTACAAGACAAGAGACAACAGATGGAAGCAGACAGATGGGGGAGCACAAGAAAACTTTTAACATTCCTGTGAGCAGCTATAAATGACTATCATATTTTCATAATAATGATGACGATGATAAGCTGACAAAATATGTTTCCTTTTGCTCCCATGCTAAATGTGGWATTTCCCTAAAATTACACAGGTTCTAGGTAAAGAATAAATCATTATTCACAGACAAGCATAGAACAATTCTGTCTCATTAAAAAAAACAAACTCCCTCACAATTATACAAAGAACTTAAACATCAGCCATGAAAATCCAGGGGAGACACCATTAAATCTTGACACCATCTTTTTAAAATGATAATTATATAGTAATTCACTTAGTAATCCACRAAGACTCACTTGGATGCTGAACTGCATACACTGCAAACTGCTCTGGTAAATCCAGTGGAGTTGCTTAGTTTATCTAAAGTTAAACACTTGCCTTTCTTGGGTTTTGTTCCTAGTGAGACTTCTAACACTTTACACATCGACTCATACAACTGTGGAAGCTCAAGACATAACCAGGAAGTTTTAAATAAAATCTTGAAAATGGCTAAGAATTGAAAACTTTGGTCATATTTAAAATGAATGAATTAAAAGTTTCCTGCAGCTATTTCCAGCCCTGCTGTAGTCAGCACTGGAGTGAGCACTGACTGCACGGCTAAGTAGCATTTACTGGCATTCACAGCGAATTATTAATTATACAATTAATTTGTGGCTGCTCCTAAATTCAAAGCATTGTAATTGCAGYACATCACCATATATTCTCTTAAGTTACAAACTTAACTCTGCCTCACCAACAGTGGACTACAGAGACAAAGATTTATTCATATGAGCACAGACTCAGTGGAGCATCTTGCTACACTGCATTCTGCTGTGACTGTGCCAGAATCTAGGGAAGACTTTATAGGATTTGCATAGCAAACTGAATTTACACAGCACATATAAAATATTGGACATAAATCCATTAGTTCAACAATAGTTAGTTTCTASTACCTGTTAGCAATCTAGACTGGTTGGAAATTAACTATCAATGAAGGGAAATTTCACACAGGCTGAAAACGCAACTGAATATGCAGTCAGGATTGATGTTTACTTGTGGCACCAGTATGTTTCCATGAAAAACATAATGAYTTTCTTTCCTGGAACCTATGYTATCCATCCACTCTGCAAAGTCCCYRAGGTTTCAGGCTTCTCTGGCTGACTGACTGAAATCTTCCAGAGCATATGAAATTTTTCATGATCTGCCAGGACAGTGCAGAAAGCTTGCACAAACTATGTGGACTACTGAGGAAAAAAAAGTATATTCCCTCTTCACCTTTGTTCCTTCCACAGATAAATGCCTCTGTCCCTTGCATGAATTCTTGTCAAACAGTAGAAAACCATTTCCAGCTTGCAAAAYACTGAAGCTGAGGTCTAGCTAATGGGGACTATCACTTAGAACAGTGAAGCTTGGTCCATAGCTCATGAGCAGTACAATRCCTGTGAAATCTCCTGACATTACTTGTGAGTACAGATAAAGTGTTTAATGAGGGCTGCTAACACACAGATAAGGCCCAAAGGATTGTCCCTGTTGCTTTGCCAACATCATTGCCCTAAGAAGTGCTGGTTAAGAGGGAAACACAGAAAATACAGACAACGTTTCATTCCAGCCAATGTGGCTCCCTGCAGCTCTCTGCAAAGTATACAGCACCTGKCACCAGTGGGCTAATGACTTTCTACCTCCAGGTTCTTTGGCTGAAGAGGCAATCTGAAAATACCACACAGGTTGGGTTTTCTCCCTGCTTTTTAAATTAAATCTGAGATTGATATATTGTAAGAGAAAGTAACAGGAGCCTGTGCTCCACTGACTGTAGATCTCCTGTAGGTGAACTTCCATCTGCTCAAACCATTTGAGCCAGCAAGTGGAAGTGGTGCTGCAGAGTTYGTGCTGAAAGGAATGAGAAGGGAGTGTCTTTACAAACAGACTGACTCTGGGGGTAAGATAAGGCTGATACTGGGAGATAGAAGGAAACAATAGGAAGGATTTCCATAGGAATTCCTTTGATTGACTTACCCCAGACTATGTTAATAGACTACAAGAGCAGAGACACAGAGATGTATATTGAAAAGGGGCAATGGATGATAGAAGGGGGGTTTCATCAGGCGTTTGGGGAGCCTGTACCTCTCCAGTACCTCAGCCAATGGGGAAAGAGAGAGGGAAATGAGGCTGGGAAATTGGGATAAAAGGAGGCTGCGTCCTCTATGAATTTGAGAGACCCCATGGGAAATGCCCATGACCTCTCCCTTAATTCATGAATAAAGTTGCGGGACTCCTCTGTCTCCTTTTTGGACATAAACCTATGGTGCTTGTGGATTAATTTTCCTAACAATGCTGATTATATATATTACAAGACAGGGCCTGACAGATTTTGCTTTGGCAAACCTCTGACACGCGGTATTAAACTACAAACCCTAATCATGAGAATGAGTAGGAACATTTGAATGAAAGATAGCAGCACATGGAAAGTTATCCATCTGGATTAGTGTGAAAACACAAGCAGAATCTCTGTGGAAACAAGCAGCTCTGTGAAGTCTGATTTCCTGTGCTTCTCTCCTGTGGGTTCTCTTGTGTCTGATAATGGTTCACACTGCAGTGTTGCTCTCCAGCAAAAGCATTCATCTGGGCCTCTCYAGCGGGCTGCTTATTTTCACGAAACTCAGTGTTCTGGTATCTCTTGAATATCAAGTCATCAGTCAAATCTGGTCAAAAATGGCCAGCAGGTTCAGAATTTGTTAGAAATGTGGAGGGAAGAGGTAGGAAGAGGGTCAGTACATCTGCTTCATATTTTCAGGATACAGCTAAAGAACCACAACTTTTTTTTTCTTTTTTCCACCATAGTTTATAGGCATAAGCATAAAAGACATTTACTGCCTTTTGAAAAGAGCTGCATTCTAGCTTGCCATSAAAGTTTTACCCACTCCTGAGTGAAGTGAGAAAAATATGATGCCCTATGCAATGCTCATGAAACAGCTCTGAATTTCAAGTTGGCTCCTGACAATTATGTGAATATATGAACCACATTCAAACYCACCAGATGAATTCAATCAGCACTGTGCAAATATCGCATACATAATCTATTAGTTTACCCCAAAGAAACTGAAGCATTGAATCCAAACAGAATGAAGTCATCAGTAATAAAAAAAAGAAACTGATAAGGCAATATTAAAAAAAAAAACCAACACAATATTCCAAGATTTGCAGAGAAGATCATACATTGACTGTAAACTATTCTCCCATCTGCCTATAAATACATAATTAAAAAATATTGGTTTGATCAGATAGCAGTTCTCAGACAGGGAAACAGCAGATGAATACCCGTTCAAATGTTTCAGATGCATGACTATTTATGCTGAAAAGGAACCTGAACTTACAGAGGAAATATAAAAACAATACTCTAATCAAAGTCAGCTTCTATTAAGGATACTTACTGAAGCTTTTCAGCAAGCCTAGTAAGTACAGCAGACAGATTTCTTTTACAGTAGCTTTACATTTAATGCAGTGGTCTCTCCTYGAGGAGATATAAATATTACAGTCCTCATCATATCTACAATTCTGKGCACACTTGCTTCCCTGGCATGGCTCTGGAGCTTTGCTACATGTTTTTCAGAGAACCATGCAAGCACACATTTACCATTCCCTCCACCATCAAAGGTCCCCGGGATCCAACRTTTAATCTACCCACAGACTTCTCTGTGTCACAAGACTGTGAGAGAACCATCCACTCTGCATTTTCCAATTGATTTCAGAATGATTTCCTAAAATTGTGGWAGGTGTAAGGAAACTGATTCAGAAGCAGCTGACACAGGGAAGTTTAAAACAATGTGTAGGAATAAATCTCTGAGAAACTGCAAAAAGAGTTGTGAAGACTCAGGTGYTGATTTCAAACAATAGTAACAAAACATGTCCAAAATCCTAAGCCATAAACAATCTTAAGAGAAGTTCAACAATTCTTCCAAGAAGCTGCACACACTAAAAGGTTTGTTTTTTTGTTTTTTTTTTTAAATGAAGAAAAAATCTTACAGGAACATTCTAAATAGGAAAAAGCACATTCCTSTCATTTATTCTGCAGTTTTGTTAAATACAGTCCTGAACACCAAAGCTTTATTCTGCCTTGGGAGAAGGATAAAAACAATTCTGTGCTATCATTCTAACCCACACAATCATTCCAACACAGCTGCTGGGGCTGTACCACCAACTGGATAAACAATGGCCAGAAATCACTCTCCTGTGCCCTGTCAGAAGCATCACACAGTGCCCATCTTGCCCACTGTGACTGCAAAGGGACCAGTTWGAAACAGCCTAAATGGATACAGCTGCAACAGATGTCCCAAAATAAAAAAAAAGGGAACCATAATAAGAGCAGAGACTGAGATTCAAGTTCTCCAACATCATATAAAATATGACTGAAATTTTGCCCCATCATCTTTGAAGAGAGAGGTGARCCAGCACCACAGCAATAACATTATATATCCACCAGTATGACAGACTAGATTTTCTTTCAAAGAATCCAAACACCATAATCAGTATTTAATAGGTATGGCTCAGGTTTTGCACAATAAAATCTCCTTGGTCTTCTTCCTCTGAGTTGCTAATCTGAATTTCCATCACTCAAGCTCAAATGACATTTTTAAAATTAGTGACYTCTTACTGCAGTTTTCTTGATAATACAGAATTAAAAACAAGTGTTGTATATACAAAGTAAAATGAACCACTTAAAGCTATA